ATCTATCTATCTATCTATCTATCTATCTATCTATCTATCTATCTATCTATCATGAATCTATCGATCTATCTATCATCTATCTATCATATCTATCATCTACCTATCTATCTATCTATCTATCTATCCCACTGTAGTTCCTGCATTTCACATTCTTGAACTTATTCATGAACTTTTCCAACTTAAGAATCTTAGTGAACATGAAAAGCCTCCATTTTTGTCTTACAAACAGTAAGAAAATGTTTTACTTGTTATTCTGCCTGTTACAAAGTGCATCATCATCTCTCGACAGCTCACTTTTATGGAACAGAAAATAATCTTTTATTAGTGATGCTGTGATCTTTTATTAGATTATTGTTGATAAAGCAGAGAACTTAATGATCTTGAAGAAACGTTATGATCTATATATTCTATTTTAAATTTACATGAGCAACTACTGTTGGAATAAAAATTTGTTATTAATAGACTTTTGCAATTGATCCACAGAAATTTTTTGATCTACTTTTATATTTTAAATGTTTTAATGTATATATAAATATATAATATACATTTATATGGAGTTTCAATGCAAAGTATGGGTTTTGACTTAAGAATCTTAGATAGCTATTACATTCTGTCTGTTAGTTGCTTAGAATTTTTATGTGTCCACTAATGTTTTAATATTTCTGAATTAAAACACTAAAAATGAGCCAATGGCAGCGGAAGGTCATTGTTATGGAGAAGATTTTATGACCTGTTTTAATTATGGAATTTATAAGGACCAGTGTGATAATATGTAAGTAAGAGAAAGTGTTGTGTCATGTTTAGTTGAAGCCATTTTACTTTTCTTCTTGTCTTCAAGTACAGATAAATAGTGATTAATTAAAATATGAATTTATGTGTATTTTACTTCTTATCCTCAAGTAAACAAACATCCCCAACTTTTCATCAATGTCTTAGTTGTGTAGGATGACCAACATTTTCGATATAGGAAGTAGCAGGTTCAGTAAGAACTTGATTTATTGATTGACCTTCACCATAGTTGCTGTTTAATTTATTCAGCTTCACAGAGACCCTTCAGCAGCTCTGGACTTGTAGAAGCACCAATGGCTCTGTGGTTCATGAGGCAAATATCATATCCCTCCAACACTCCTACTCATTTTGCTTCTGCTTTAAAACGTCTTCCAATCTTCTGGACAAGTTTGCAAGTTTCTTGTTACCCAGGATATTTTTCCCTGTGTTAATTTGACATACAAAATATTTTAGGATTTTTTTTCTTTGTGTGTGTGAGTAGTAGAAGTGACAAAATTTAGATTGACCTTGAGATACACCATGTGGTCTTTTGCCTTGTCATTTTAATATTATTTATTTTTCATACAATTCCTTTACCTTTCTGTGTCTCATCAAAAAATATGATTTAAAAGTCCCTTTGACTCACTAAAATCAGCTTTTGGTATACCATAAAGCTATAAGACTAAAAAGATTGAATGTAGAGTTGGTGATATTGAACAAATAGCACTGAGAGATTACTATCCCCAAGAGACTTAGGGTGAGGTTAAAATCAGGTGCTAGAGTAATATGTCCACTGGCTTACCACCTTTATGAACATATTCCTATATTTAGTAATTGCATATGCTTCCAAAAATATTTTCAATTCGTGAG